TCAATAAATCTACTAACAATGGATGTGTCCAAAACAAATCTGTACTTATTCTCAACAAGCCTATTAATTAGTTATTGCATTTGTGTCCTTCCAACTTGTTCTTTGAGTATAAACTTCTTACGTACATTGTACATGTATATCAATGAACTAACATTAGCATTATCATTTTGTTTTAACATATATAATATTTTCTTCGGTCTCATGTGATTCTTGGACACGTCTCTTAAAATTGAAGTCACTTTCTCAGTTAGTCTCTGACATATAAATGCCCTTCGATTGTGTGGACAATATCATGATTAAGTCTCCCACATTTCATTTTGAACATTCAATAATCACCATTTATCAATTTTCTTTCATTCAAAGTGAACGGGCATCCACACTTTCTTGTTCCAGTGGCTTTTTGTCTCTTCCCTTTTTGTTTTCTTTGTTGGCATTCTTACACTTGAACAAACTATATCTTTCACATTTGAAATCAATTCTCGATTTTCTCCCAACTTGGCCTAAGTCAGACTTTTTCATCACAACAATCATGTTATGTCTTTTACTAGTAGTTTTGACCCAATCAACCAAGTCCTTTTTACTTGTAAACATCTGTGTATCATCAAATATTTGTATATAAATATATGATCATATTAAAAATACAAATATCATTACTTACCATATTTGCAGAAAAATTTCTGTATAATCAACAAACAATTCGTTCTAGATATTAGAGTTGTGTGTTGAAATCCTACATTAAAAGCATAGTGTCGAATAATGTCATTGACATAAATTCAAAAATAAAAAATGACGTATACGGTAAAAAAGTTAGAACCGTGAAATCATTTATAGTACTCTATGAAAAGGATAAAATACAGTGCATTAGAATAAAGTAATAGTGGATGACACACAAAGCAACATGAGATCATTCAAGAGCTACACTTTTGGCTACTCAGAGCATCTCCAAAAGACACTCTATTTATAAAGAGCATCTTATACATTATACAAAGCATCTTTAAATTTAGAGAGTAATTTTTTTTATATACTCCGACAAGCTCTCTATTTTGATTCTTTATTTTATTTTTCAATGAATATTTAATAATTTCTTCACATATTTTATTTAAATACAATTTTTTATATATTAATGATCAATCAATTCAAATGTGATTTGAAAAATTTAAATTGTAGAGTATTAAAATTTTTAATGTATTAAATGCAATCATTGTACATTAAGAATAGAGAGTGTGTTTGGATCTTTAAATTTGGAGAGTCAAACACACTCTCTACTTTAAAAAGTTAAATTAGAGTCTCTTGAAACTTATATTTAAGCATTGACTTTCTAAAAAAAAAAGAGTATTTTGTATTTAAAAAATCACTTAGAGATGCTCTTATAGTGTGACACACATTAGCAAGGGCACATTAATAAATATTGGTAGTTTAAAAGGCCAGGCCCACTTTTATAAAATATTGGTAAGAAAAAGCGAACATTGACATACAGAGGCCAACTTTTATCAGGGTTCTTACAGACACTAGTAATTAAAGGGCACATTATGAAATAACCCAGACACAGATCAATAATCATTCACACACTAAATTTCTCAAACCCACAATAAAACGTAAACTTTTAAAAAATTCTTCGTCATATATTGCTATATCTAACCTTATATAAAAAGGCCATTGGGAAATTACTGTAGATGCAATAGTAATCCAATCCCATTCTACTATACGAAATGATGTCCCTTTCATTTTATTTTATTTTTCATTTTGTTTTTCTTTTCCTTTTTCCTTTTTTTTCAAAGTTCCCTTTCCATTTTTTTGCCTTTTCTTCAAGGAATAAAACGACACCGTTTTATTTACATTCCTGACAATTTATTCCTACTCTTTCATGCAATGCTTCCTCCTCCTCTGCTACAACCATTCTTTGTGCCATTTTTCTTTGCTACAACCATTTGGACGAGCTCACATTTTTTATTCACTTGAACTCCTTCCTTTCAAGAATGATTTCCAATTCCTTTGTTAATTGAAATAGGAGTTTTTGGGGGAGAAGAATTTGCTTTTATAGGATTTAAGAACGGGTTTGGGGCTATTTTTTTCGATGCTTTTTTCCCATTCTATAAAATGAACTATAATTTATTTTTGTTGTCAAGGTTCTGGAAGTTGATGCTATATTTGGGTTGTATTTTGTTTTTAGGTTTCAGATCAAGTTGAAGTATATTTTGATTTTTTCCTGGAATATGACTTAGAATGTTGTGGTGCCTTCAGGCACTGAAAAGATGAAATATGATGCGATACTTGTGGATAAACTTCTAATTTATTTTTGTTGTCAAGGTTCTGGAAGTTGATGTTGTATTTTACCCCCTTTTTTAGGTTTCAGATCAATTTGAAGTATATTTTGATTTTTTCAGGAATATGGCTTCGGATGCAGTGGTGACTTCAGGCACTGAAAGATGAAATATGACGTGATACTTGTGGATAAACTTCCTGAAGAAATCAACGAAATGAATATCAAGGAAGATAAGGTGGAAAATGTTGATTTTTGAGCTTGAGAAGAATTTATTTTCTATTATTTTAAACTTTTATCTTCCATTTTATTATTGGCATTTGATATGTTGTAGAAAATGGAAACAACGATAGTGGATGAAACTAACACTAGGCGCATCATCATGACTATTATTGGTGGTAAAAATGGTCAACCTAAGCAAGTAAAATTTCTAGATAATAACTTTTATAGAAAAAAATCCTCTCACATTTCAAATGGGGATTCATATTTTTAAGAAGTAAGACGTCAAATTGATGCAGTTTGGTGAAATACGGCTATGTAGTATTAGTGTTTTGATGAAATGCTGGTTGAAGATCAAATTCAGAATCAGAAAGGGGAGCTTTAGACATTAGAGAATTGAAATGTCTTTAGGTAATGTTTCAAAATCTTTATATCTATGACCTATAAAGAAATAGAAAATCTTCCCTTCAATAGTTTATCTGTGTAAAAGTATTGCGTATCATAGATGATTATGAATCTCTACTTTTGCTTTTACTTTTTGTTTATTTTTATTTATATAGAGAAGTAGGGTTTAGACTTGAGACAAGGCATTTCTAAAATGGAAATTGTCGCTATTTGATTAGTGAAATTTTCCAAACACACATATTCAACTATGTATCCTGTACATTTGTTTTCCACACTATAAGATCGTTTCCATTGCTTCTTCATGGATGGTCATGAATTTTATTTGGTCAAATCAATTTGTTGAGATGCCCAACTCCACAGAATAAAGCATTAACCATATCACTTGATTTTGGATTCTAGATTATTCTTTTTTAGACTCCTCTGCTACAAGCCTAACCCTCCCTTGAATCCTAAATTACTTCATCTTAGAATATCCTCATCTAATGATGCAGTCTTTATTTATCCCCACCCAAACTGCTATTGATTGTAGATTAGATTTTTTATTTCCCCTCTCCCTAAAATCCTTTCTTTTAATTGCTTATATGTGTGGGTGGGGGGAAACAATTGGGGACGAGAAACATTAATTTGTTTGTTACTTAGCCAGTGCCCACTACAATATGTTTAGCTCTGTTATATTTTAATAAAAAAAATTACTTGCTAAGTGAAGATCTTGTGATTATGTACACATCTAACAACAGTAATGTGATCTTACAAATAACTTGTGCTACATTTTTATCTTCTTTTGGTGCTATGTCAGAGTAGAAGGATTTCATATCACTTATTTATGTTTTGCCTTCTTTTTAATGATAGACAATAAGTTACATGACAATAGTGTGTTGTTGGATAGGATTCCTCTGGGATTGTGTTTCAGGTGATTGTTATGTCCTACATATATTTTGAAACATTACACTCGGTCATTCAATGATGGTTAAGTTGGGAAAAAAGAAGACATAAAAGGACATATGATGCTTTCCTATGATTAACATGTTTGAGTTAGACACTAATTTCTTTCTAAGTATAAACTATCAAAAAATAGCTTTGCAAGCCAAATGTCTTGAAGGTGGAGAAACAGTAGCCATCAAAAAGTTGTTGTAGGATAAGAGAGACAGATATTGTGAACTGTTGACGATACGACTTTTTGATCCCCCAATGTTGTTTCACTCAAGCATTGTTTTTTTTTTAACCACATACTAGGATGAGCTTCACCTAAATTTCCTAAGCTTTTGAATATTGCCTTGGAGTAATAAGTTATCCATTTCAACTGATACATTTAAATAATGCCTTGGTTAAGTGTAGATTTCTTGTTTGCTGTTGAATTGTTTTGAAATGATGATAATAATTCTTTCACTTCAAGAGTTTCCTACCTCCTCAATATAATGCATGTGAAGGGCAGAAACTACAATATTGCAATTGACCAAAGGATCAGACTTGGCCAAAAACTTCAGATCTTCAACAAGTTCTGAAAAATATACAATCTTTACGCTAATAAAAATATAATAAATATAAAACTTGTGCAAACGCACGTGATAACAACTAGTTTGTATATATTTGCTCCAATGATGTCTCTTTCATGATTGTTTAACTTTAGTTGAAGAGAATACTTTAAGACTATTAGGGTTTTATTTAAACACAAATTATAAAATAATATTTAAAGGTCCAAAAGAATTTAATGAAAATAAATATAAGTAAATACCAAATTCACACCCATATATAAAATAGCGGATAAGAAAATTACTGCCACCTTCTATAGCTAAATGAGTTTGTTAAATCCTAGGGTTTAAGAGTTTTAGATATTCTAAGATAGATCTTCCAAAGAACAAGGCCTTTTTCGTATAAACCAATTCATTTATATGTCTATTTAATTAAATTTATATGAGAATATAATTTTCTTTTAAAAATAGATATATAGGAAGTAACACAGATAACAAAGTAGCTATGACTATTTTCGTAAAAGTTAGTGGAATAATGCTGGGCGCACAGGGATATAGACACGGTTCGGAGAGGGACTTAAAATCTTTTCACGTGGCATCCTTTATTTTCTTGCAATAAAATAAAAGAAAACTATTGGAATTTAAAAACACTAATAATGTGACTCCATTTCTCTGTACGGGAGAAACCCCAACCATTTTCTTTACCCATTTCAACACTCAAAAAGGTTATCACTGCTCCTCTCCAAGCCCCGCCATCCCTCAGTCGAAGTGCAGCACTTCCACCGTCATCATCAACATTTTTGACCACACTTCGATCCCACCCATTTTCCCCATATTACGCAGTTTCCTCCTAAATCCGTTTCGACGTTTAGACGGGAGAAAACCCTCTCCTTACTACCTAGCCGTTGTCGTAGTTGGAGGTACTTTGGGATGACTTCCACTGGTATGTGTAGAAAGCCATTACCAGTATTGTTCATATATGTAAAATAACCCAAACCTCTCAATTTTTGTATACTTTTGCCGATTTTTTACTAGCTTAAATTATAAGAGACTTGAAGATTTGGGGAAATATTTGCTGGTGTTGTTTTAATTGAGTGTTTAGATAAGAATTTGACAGCTTGCTTCATGGAATAGGAACTTAGACGGCGCTTGCTTCCCGGCTTTTGTTGCGGACGGGAACTCACTTTATTAAATAGAATAAAATGCACTCTCTTTGGTAGTTATTTTTAGAGTTTATCTTAAAAGTTTACATCATGTCCAAGCTCACCTCTTAAAAATGTAAACTTGCTTCTCTTTTGAACTGAAGCGAACATACATTTGCTGCATCTTCCATATTTTTATGTTGGACGTGTATTTATATATGATTTATACTGTAAATTGTTTATAAATACATTTCAAACATACTTTGTCATTCTCTTAGCATTCTGAAATTTGATGATTCTAAATGTTTTGGTGTAACCCAGCTTGCTAAAACTATAAGTCACATTCTGAAATTTTGATTAATACATTTGTGTATTATTGAATATTCATTGGTAGAGCGAATTGTTTATTGTGAAATTGCATTTGTTTGAGTTGATGCTCTGTGATTTTTTTTCATCGTAGAATGGGCGGTAGGAATTACGAAATCTATCACAGTTGTAGAGCTAAGGGACATTTCTTTGCTGATTGCCCACAAAAACACCGATGCCCAAATTGTGAGCACGGATTTGAGAATTGTTTCGTGGTGGAGAAGGGAAGTGGTCGACCTGATTAGTAGCTATTAATCGATATAGTGGCTAGTACATAATCTTTTGTATGAGGTCGAAATATTTTCAGCGAAGATATGTAAATTATGTTTGTAAACAGCGATCGCATCTATGAGATTAGTCTCAAAGTGCTATCCTTTTTGTATAATCTTGGGAAAATCTACCTTTTTGTTTATCTATTTGTGCTTTCTATATTATGTTAGTGAAGTCATCTCACTAAATTATGTTCTACACATTTCGTTGTATAAATCACTTTTAATGACTAAGATAAGTTAAGTTACCAGATGGAGGTTGAGATACTATAATCTCTAATATGTTATTTAATGAGTACATGATAGCCCCACTATTGTTTAGTAAAAAATTTGTCTACATCAATTTCTTAATAATCACAGGAATCAAATGTGTACATTAATCTTATTATTCACTTGTGAAATGCAATTCATACAACCTTACTTGACTGCTTTATAGTTTGCTCCATAATTTACAACACAAATTAAATTTCTATCAAGGCTAATGAAAAAGCAGCACATAATAAAAAGCATTCAAAAGGTGGCCAAAACTGAATAACACTGAGAAAATTAAATAAAAACAATAGAGCTTTCTTGTTGATTCCTCTCCCCGCCCAAGGCAGATTCCAACAATAGAAACAAACATAGTAATAGAAGGAGCAAAATATAAAAAAAGCCTTATTTTATTTTATGATTCAAATTCATTCCAAATGAAAGGGTCCAAGAAAAGGAACCGCCAAAAACCACTTTCTTGAACCCTGACCCAAACAAAAAGATGTTGCATTTCACATGTGCACTCAATTCTCGATTACATCGATATAACCTGTACTTCGAAGGACTAGTTTAGTGATTGTGCTCGAGGTGGACCGTGTTAATCCTCCAAACTCCATATATAACTGAAGATGCTGATATCCTCGCTTTACAACCCGTCTGAATTGTTGGTTGTGGCCTCAAAGAACTGCTAGTCTTACCAATTCTTCAGCCTTCCAAGCCACAAGTCAACGTTACATATCTCATCTCTCCATTATCCCCCTTTTTTGAATTCCTTTTCTTCATTGGAAAACTAACGCCATAAGAATATTTTTTGTAGAAGTCAAACATTTCTGTCACATCTTTAAACTCCATTCCTATTGAGGGCACAATCATTTCATCTCCCACTGAGGTTACATCTTCCATTATGTTAACAGAGTCCTTGATGTTCTCGTCGTAGGATTCTACCGTAACATCAACATGCTCATTTTAAGCTTCGTCCATAATTCTGACAATATTGCAATGACATATGTGAACACATTTAGGAATCTATAATAACACAACAATGGTAATTGCGGGAAAACAAATGAAATTTTTATTTTGTTTCCCTCCGACTTCGTTACTGAAAAATGCCATGGTTAGGAATTCTGTAATGATCACACTACAATTAATTCTTGGTTAGAAATCCAACATCTCTTTACTGGAAAAAAGAGTTTTTGTTGCTTTTAGTCGATTGATTACCTTTATACATCTTTTACCTATCCCTAACGAAAGAAAAGATCATTGTAAATTTGAATATCAGTTTGCAATCCCAATCAATTCTAACAACCGAAACCCATCTCCTCCAAAACTGAAATACCCAATATACAAGTTTAGTTTTAAACATTCCTCTTTATTTTCCCATATTTTAACATATTGAAAATAGAAAAATAAAAATAAATATTTTATTCTATGAATGACATGTCATTTTAGGCGATGGATAAAGATCTCGTTCTGAATAAGGGTACCTTAATGTTAGTCGGAGGAGAAGCAACATTGGTCGGAATTTTAGAATGTGTTCGGAGGAGAAGCACACGTTGGTCGGAATTTCCTTCTGGGCAATTTTTGTTCGGGACGTTGAGCTGCTAGAGATTTTGATGGAAAAGTAATAAAATATTTGAAAGTAACGTCTTCCAATTTTTACACACGTGCAAGCCCATTCCCCACCTTTTTATTATTATTATTTTTTTTTGGTCCTTGTTGTCGCAAACATGACCTTAGATTGTCAAACTCAATTCGTTAATAATCTATAAACACGAATAGAATTGCATATAGTGGTCATAGTAAAAGACCACTTCACCTAATTTTAGATGATAGGAAAATTACCTCACATATATTCGATCTAGATTAATCTTGGAAATTTCAATTATTTAATTACAAAATCCATTGCTGAAGCCAACTATTTAAGTATGAATAATAATATATAGAACCATCTAGTTATCTACACTTTATAAGATCTGTTAGATGAGTTACGTAACTTTGCATTTAAAATGAATATATTATTTATTTCATATAATTGTTACCAAAACTAGTGCTTAACGCCAATAATAATGAATAACATTACTTTTTGAGTATTTATCACGATCCAGCCAAATTTTAAGACAACACTCCTAAACATATATTAAATGGCTAGTAACTAAGGAAAAACGGTTCTTGAGAAGATTGATACTTAAAAATTTATTGAACTTCCATAGGTGTTCTGAATTTTACAGTCTCTTACTATCTTGCACTGATCTTTTCAATGAATTATTGGATGTTTGTTTCATCAATCCTCAAGTTGTAGTCGTTGTTGTTCTGAATACCACTTCTTGTGGTACTGAAATAATGGAAAGAAGAGTACCTCAAAAATTATTATGAGACCAATGGTGGCAATGTTTACACGCGAGTATTTAATTATCTTAGTATATGGAGAGCTTTTTGGGAACATATCTAGCTTTAATTGCATAATTCCATCGTGTATAAACATTATTCGCGTGCTTGATTTTATTAATTGCAGCAAGGATGTGATTCAGAAGCGTATTAATTTGACAATGAACAATTAAACAACAAGAAGCAAAGAATTAAGGGCAAAGAAAAAAAATTAATTTTTGCTCATATATTCAAGTGTATCTATTACAATAAATAAAGTCATCTATATATAGAGTAAATAAGATAAAATTGAAAGAACTTATATTAAACTAAATTTTTTTTAAAATATTAAGATTCAAATAATCTATTTAAACTTTTATAATTTCAATTAAATTCTATACTAAAATTCTATCTAAACTTCATCTCTATCTCCATGATTTTTCTCATGACTAGTATAATTCGATTTCGACGAGGTAGACTGGAACTCCAAAATTCAAAGAAGTCGAATCTTTTGTCTTGACCAAATGTTTGTACTAAATCATTGACAACAACATATGGTTGAACTTTTCCCAATGGGGAGGAGGTCTTTCTTATCAATCAAGTCTCGAACTTGATAAATTAAGACAACGAAAGCTGTAAATCATCATGAAGAATGTGATCTGAGTAAGGGGAGAACTCTCTTTTTAATGAAATACAAATGTTGAACTCCAAAAAGTAACAACTTTTACAACCCATCCACGAAATCTTCAACTGATTGTGCATAATGAGGAACACATACTACCAAAGTAGACTAACTTATAGAGAAAAATAATTGCAATATCAAAAGCTCAAATGAACTTAATAAGGAACAACTCTGTTATATTGAAATATGAATATCATTCAAGTGTGAGGCAAGTCAAATTAATTATCATTATATGAATGTTCTAAGAATATTTTCTTAACATGTTTAGCAAATTGAGTAAAAAAGAAATGCAACAAAGCATAATAATTATCATTAAAATGTCCAAGCTAATAATGCACATCAAAAGTAAGCTCAAAATTTCATAATTAAAAATAATTTATCCTCTTATTGTGTCATGAAATTTAGGATTATTGATTAAAAAGGTAGGAGCTAGCATAATGTGTCGATAATTAGTATGCAATATCCAAATATTTCTACGAAGAGTATATAAGCCAACAATTGCTTTCAAAAACATTTTGATAGCTTGAGAAGTATCGATCATTCGAAGTAATGTCACAATAAAGTCAACTTTAAAGGCATACATGAGTAGAAAAATTGTTTGGCTTAGGTGACAATATTATAGGTAATTTATCAAATGTGTCATCATCGTCAATTATGTCCAAGACAGATGTGGAAGGGATACAAGCAAGTTTTAAAACTCTTATCCTCGCTATCAGAAGAATCAATAGGTTCAACAGTAAAAAATTCATTTTCTTTGAGGACTATCAAAACCAAACTTTGGAAGTAATTGGTGTAATTAGACTGGTATACCTGGTTTTGTACGTGGTTGTCGAATTCAGATAGATATGTAACAAAAGTTGGTGTCATGTAAGGAGTGTAGGAATATCGTTAACTACCCACTAATAATGAAGGTACCTTGACTATAGTGAAAGAAATAATTGATTTAACATTTGAATTTGATAATACAATACGGGGTATTGTTACTTAAAATTTATTTTATGTCATCCCACAAAATGACAAGGTGTTGACCTAGACCATTACGTAAGAATGATTTCTAGAAACTTCTAGTAGAACTAACTAGTGATATAATAGCTGAAAAATTCAACTAGAGTCGCTCAAGTTTTAGGCAAAAAGTTTTTAAGATTATTGAGTCAATCCAAAATTGACTCTGGACGAGTCCAACCATCTACGCACCATAGTTGTGAAGAAACGTGCATAGAAAGATAATGAACATTCCTGATGTAGTCCCTAGAATGAGGATAATTATACTAATAAGGGGAAGGGAAATGCACACTATTGTGATAACGACCCAAGGGTTTGATGTAGGTATAAGAGTTTTATAAAAATCATAGATGATATTTTTTGAAACATGTACACAACAAACTCAATTATTTTAAATTCTTTTTATTTTATTTTATTTTTATTTTTTATGGATAACTAAAATGAATTACTTTACCGTGCTTGCTGATGGGCATGGGTTAATGGATTGAGTAAAATGGTCTAATGAACTTACGGGGTTCGGAAAGCGGGTTAAGTTTTATTTGGATATGTGGGCTGATTTTGGAGTGACTATTTGGCTCCTATCTTATTATTATTATTATTATTATTATTATTATTATTATTATTATTATTATTATTATTATTATTATTATTATTATTATTATTATTTGTTATAATTATTATTATTTTTTGGTCTCATGTCTTACATCAAATTGTTGCATTTCATAAGTTAGTATATTTTAATCTTTGTAATTTGAGCTTTCTATAAATAAAATAAAATAAAATAAAATTCAAGCTATGTTGTGGTGTAAATTGATAAATCAAAGCATTCATTCTTTGCAATTCGAAGTTTTTACTTTCTTACA